AATTAAAGCTCAATCCTTTTTTACATTTAAATACTCTTAATATGTTAAGATTTTTTGCACTATTTACTATTTTGGTAAATGCCTAATGATTTTAACTCTTGTAAATAGCCTAGATTCTAAAGCATATCCATGTACTATTTTATAACATATTCTTATCTATTGTAAAGTACTCGTTAATTCAGTTGTTTCTGTAACTGCAAGAGAGTCCTAATAAACTATTATTATTATATTATTATTATTGTCTCGAACATTTTTATGTAAATTATTAATAAGTAATATCATGGTTTCGGCTCGTGAAATTTGGATAAACAGTGCACGAGTGAGTTTGAAAAACTCACTCGTGCATGTTATGTCCAAATTGCACTCAAACCATACTATCACCTATACTGATCACGTTGCGAGAAAGCTATAAGCGATTTAAGAGTTAAAGCGACTAAAACTCAGTCAATTTTTAGTTGCGACTTCATTTATGGTTTTGGTACATTTTATTAAAATTTTGCACTTCTAAAAGAAAGGCTATATATATAATAAAGAGCAATAAAATATATACAAAGTATATATAAGAATTTATGGTCCTATATAATATTATGGTATTTATATCACGTTTTACCGCTAGCGATACTCTTTAAATTTCAGCTGAGCATATATATAGTGACCAATTTTGTTATCGCAACAAAATAGAAAATATAACAGATTAACAGGTACAATCACACAACTGTTTGTAAACCATAGCAACAAAACAAATTAAGTTTGCTGATAATCGATTATTTACATTAATCAGTTTCTAGAGAATAAACATTATCAGTTTCAAATCAGTTATGACATATTGTCCTATATATGAGCGATTTTGCTATCAACTATTAGCCTTTTGTAATATGATTACGGTATACCATTCCTGGACATATCTCAAGTTGCCTATATGCAGTTCACTAAATTACTGACTGATAGTTTCACCAAAAAAAAATTAATTTCCTTTCCATGGTTTACACTGATGCATGATAGCTACATTGAGTTGTATAATTGAGCTTATATGTATTCCCCAAATATAGGTTCCATTTTCTATACTTAGCACTTAATAGAGCGTCTTGTTTTAGCAGGATGGCGACGGGACATCACCATCATTTGCGCCTGCAGTTATATCCATATACAAACGCAAAGTTTGCATGTTCTCTACACTGTAAAAACTGATAGGTTAAAATAACCAAAAAAAAATAGGTTATTTCAGTTGGTCTAGGACAACCGGTTTAAAATAGGTTATTTAAATAGGTAGAAATAACTAAAACTAAATAGGTTAAAACAAACCATTTCTAGTGGGTTATTTTAACCTGTAATATAGTTAATTGTACCTATTTAAAATATGTTATTATAACATTTATTTTTAGGTTAAAACAACCTAAATTTAAACAGTTAAATCTACTCAGAAATATAGGTTGTTTTTGCCAAATAAATATAGGTTGTTTTTACCTATAAATATTTGGTCATTTTAACCAATAATATTTGGTCGATTTAACCTATAAGTTTTGGTTAATACAAATATAACCTATTCTTTATGGTTGAAATAACCCATAAATAATGGTAAAGGCCATGAGTCTAAACCAGCCCTTTAAAATAGGTTACATGCGGTTGATCTAACCTAAAAAAATAGGTTAAAATCAAATAGGTTAAAATCAAATAGGTTAAAATCAATATTTGACTCAAAGTCAAATTAGTAAATATTAAAACAATTTCAGTACTTTGATAAAAATCATGTATTTTTCAATTTTTTCTTAAGGAATGCATAAGTCTTATATATAATATATAATTAAAATAATCTACGAGATAATTGAGTTCCAGTGTGCGACAATTGCAAAACAGTAAAGTGGAAGTGGAGCAGAGTTTAATGGCATGCGGTCATCATATTATATTGTGAAAGTAAAAAGCTCTTCATATATAGAAGAAACAATGGTTATCTCACACAATTCATTAGCTTGTAAGCTATATATAGTTTAGAGTTATACTATATAGAAACATTCACAGAAATAGCCCATGATTGTGAGGGTCATAACTCTCCTCGGGACAATATATCCTGCATGTACAATACATGCATTAAATTAGTGATACAATATTATCATAAATTTCATTAGCATAAATTGTTCCATTTAATGTGTTCATAAAATCCCTTAGCTTAGGAAGTTCTCCACGTCAATTGGTAAAGTACCGGTATGGCAATTATTGGCCAAAAGAACATGTTCTAAATTACTAAAACATGTAAATGTTCTTACTATGACCTGTTAGCCCCTTTTGGGTACCGCATGTTAAAACGTAGTACCCTGCAAGCAAACGTGCCACTGCGTTGGTAATATTGCACGGATCGTATCTGAATTTTTTACAACCATTCCCTCTGCAATCAATGAAATCGAACTTATCTCTTCCAGAGGTCCAGTGGCCAATAGACGAGGGGTAGAGCATCCTGATATTTTGGGAGCAATTTCAGAATCATCCTGCAACAAGGAAATATATAACTGAGTGAAATAAGCATTTCATGCACAACTTACACTTTTGTCTAAATATTGTACTTCTTCTCCTGTAGTTACACTACAAAAATATACATCCCTTCATAATTTCTATCTAGATTATTTTTTGTTTGTGTTGGCGTTATGTACTCAGTGAATATGATGTTTGTGATGTTACTCTGAGTGTAAATCCACACCGGGCAAGCTGAAAAGTTAGCTTGGCCACGGTGGGAATCAAACCCGAGACCTTTGGGATACTAGTCCAATGCTCTGCCAACTGAGCTATGTGCCAAGTCGGTTCGAGTTGATGATATTTCGGAACTGAGTCTAGTTCCTTCTATATCAGTGTATTCTATATGTCTGATTATTTTTTGTCATACTGAGTACATCACCAGAGTACATAACATCAAGTACATAACACCAACACACATAAAAAATAATCATATAGAATACACTGATATAGAAGGAACTAGACTCAGTTCCAAAATATCATCAACTCGCACCGACTTGACCATGTAGCTCATTTGGCAGAGCATTGGACTAGTATCCCAAAGATCGCATCCCACCGTGGCCAAGCTAACTTTTCAGCTTGCCCGGAGTGGATTCACACTCAGAGTAACATCACAAACATTCTATCTAGATGTTATAAAATATACAAAATTTACTTACAAGAACAACTTTAATTAAAGGAATGTTCTCCTGAGGTATGCTTCTCCTCAAGGACATACGTCAAAGCTGCCATGATACAACGGTTTTCTAACTCTACAAAAAGATCAAACATAGAATAAATTTCTATACAGATTAAAATACACATATATAGTTAAGTTCTAATTCTATAATACACATATAGATTAAGGTTTTATATAGATTAAGTATCTTAATATACACAGGTTAATGGTTATTTGTCTGCAGTTTTCTATTATAAATATTTTGTATGCAAACACTATTTTGAAGCCCAAGCAGGTTATTTGCTTGGAAAAGCTGTCCTTTGGCGTTTATATACTGGCAATTTTTCCAATCGGTAATATGGCGAGTCGCTGATTTACCAGCTTTTGCCTTTGATGCTTTTCGCTAAAAGAGCGTTAGAAGAACGTCCAACTTATGCATGGCGTTTGTGCAAATGAGTAATGCTGCTCGTTACAGTATATCGCAAACGCGCCTTTGCATGATAAACAATCCAGCTCGAAAATTATGTGCGATAAAACTCCGAATATCGGCAGCCATGAAAATGTCACAACGAAGAGATTGATTACGATGTATCGAGATGTAGCTGAACTTGACCAAAAGACAAAACTAATTCTACATGTTATTTTTCAATCATCCATTATATTGTTATCTCAATTTTGTTCACTTTATGCCAAACTGATATTGTGTGTTGTATTTCATAACGTATAACCAGTCGTTATTGCATGACTGCTACAGCATATAATCTTGACCGAAAGCACATAAAAGAATCACTTGGCTTGCATAATTGCTTTGAGTTGGTTGAAAATTCTGACCGAAAGAATATCTTTTACGAAAAGGCATTCAGATACAGGCACTGATATTGATGCCTTGGAGGACTTTTGCAAACCAATTTATGCTGTAGTGCATGTAGGCAAAACACTGACAATATTTATGTGTTGAATGTAGTTTAAATATGGAAAGGGAATGATTTTACCCGATTAGACAAATATTTTTGGGCCTGTAAAATATAATTCTTGATTTTGTACCAAATGAATACACATTTAATGACAAATGTGAATTTTGTTGAACTCAGTTTTTTTAAAGTGGGCACAAGTTGCACTATGTTCACACTCTCTCATATATAGGCTATGTCATCATTTGCATATATAAACTCAATTTACTTCATGGACAGTACAAAAACCCATACAGCAGTGCCAGAACAAAATTCTAAATTGAATATATATGTATATGTAACCATACAGCTATTTCAATTAAAGATTTAAACTTGTCACAGACAATAGTCAGATGTATAATAAATGCACACAATTAAAGTCCATGAGATCTTGCAATGGATACAGTCCACAGAGTAAAATTATCATAATTCACGTCATTGCATGTATAATACTCATGATACCCGTCATCTATAATATCCTATACTGCCATCGTCTTTGTTGATTACATCTATAAAATTCAACTGCAACGCACTACATTAAAGTCAACGAGATCACGTAGAGTAACATTGTCGCAATTCACATCATTGGATGATACTGAACATTGCCTATTTGTACGAAATGTTTCATTCCCTAAACTGTTATATATATCATTGTCCGATATCTCTTTACGATAACATACAAGATTCTGTGGACCAGGGTTGACATAATTGTCATGTATTATTGAGCGTTGGCAGTGAGTTAATCTCGATTCTCGCCGCTTTTCTAATGAAGGCAGAAGAGATCCTGTGTAATGGGTTTCCGTGTCTTCCTTAATGTCTTTCTTATTTTCTGTGCTCATAGATGTTGATAACAGTACAGTAGGCACTCTAGATCTATATTCAAGTATGTTTCAATGCCCTTCGAATTCTGATATTAGCTTGTTTTTCTTTCTAGATTTGTCTCTATACATTTCGAAGTCATTGCGTCCAGTGTGAACACTTGTAGTTGGATACGTGTTTAACTGCTGTCCCTTTCCTGGGGAAAACTGAATTCCTGGAAGGTCTGTTAGATAAGGACATTTCTCTCTGTGTGAATATTGTAAAAGGCATCTTTTATTTCGATTTTTGATACAATGAACTCCTTGACTTGGTCCCGATAATGCTTTTAAAAAATCTTCGTGTTTCGTCCCTTCCTTCAGATGTCTGCAACAACAGCGACTTGTGAGTGAAGGAAGTTGATTCTGGAACAGAGTTTTATTGTCCCTCAAATATCCAGTTAAACATTTTTGTTTACAGTCTAAGTAATCTCTTTTCAATGTTGCTCTTACATTTTCATTCATTCGTGTGATACATATGGACATACTGTAATGCTTGATCAACATTCAATTAATTGACTGTATGGTGACCTTTAGCTATTCAGGAAAACACCAAATTAAGTTATCGATATTTGTTGAGCGATATTTTGCACCCGAAACAAGAAGATCAATAAAACAGAATAGCGTTATATTAATTATTGTTATCATCTGCTGATGTTTGAATAAATAATAGTTGTAACCAAGACAACCGTGTCACCTGCTATATTTTCACTTCTTCTCTAAACATTGGACATTTTAAAAGCTATACATGTTTCGCATTAATAAGGAACTTGCGACGCAACCGGTTCAGGCGAGTGATTTGTCAACAATACAATTTCGTTTGATTTTAAAAGGCCATAAATCGTTAGAATACTGGTGTTAGTAGTACATTTGACATCCGTAAGTACAATTTCTTACGCTGAATCGAACGGTGATATGCCTGTTTATCCTTATTGCGCCATTATAGGCATTACAAATACGATATCATTATTATTTCACACTAATAACAGTTTTCACGGACTGTTATTCGATAAATTTTATAGTGTTATGACACCAATATGCTTCTCATAAAGTAGTTATTTATTAAAACTGCGTTGTGCAGTTTAAGTTATAACCTTTTACCTTGAAATTGTCTTTGGCTCGTTTATATTCAGATTCAGTATATTACCCTGGATTCCAGAGCGGCAGGGCCTTCAGTAAATAATAAATTGCCGGAAACGGCTCTGGAATCCAGGGTAGTATATTATGATCGTGCACACGAATTCAACGATCCAAATTTCGGATTTTCTGAGTCGTGCACCAAGAAAAACGCATTAAATAAAGTAGCAAGAATGTCCAGAGTTAGACACAATGCAAAATCCATAGAAAACAGGTACAATTCGTTCCAAATTTTCACAAAATTGTTTGAAACATTTTGCCCACTCCACAAAAGGCCTAAGGATCAAGCAGCTCATTAATATTCTATTTTGTGGCTAGCGATCCACTATCCAAGAAAAATGCGAGCCGAAACCTATACTCGCCCGGGGCACAGAGTAAAAATATATAACTTAAATTTTCGGCAGCATGCCACCGCCTTCGTCAGAAAGTAAATAAATATGGTAAATTAACTTCCTTATATACAACACTATAAGTGATTAAAATAATTAAAGCAATATAAACAAAGCCTAAAGAAACCTATTGTTGGCAATAATCATGGCTAAGTGCCTATCCAAAAGTTTTCACACTTTCTTAAGTCCTCATTGTTGTTATCAATTAACTGACATAAATTTCAAGTTGAAATGCTCAGTACAGTGCACATCTATGAAGTGATTAACTACACCACATGTTCTATACGCTTATGCTTTATATATGACTTGCAGTTTGCCAAACGAGGCTTAAAATTAATAGTAGAACCAACCCTCTGTAAACCACAAGCCACACACTGAGCGAGGTAAACCACATTCTCAGATGTACACGTCAAGGTCTTACGGATACTAAACAACCTGCCGGTCACGGTTGAACTAAGCATGTTTGCAACAATCACATCTTTTGGCTGTACATGTGATACAACCCCGACCTACAGGTTCAACCCCTCGGTTACTCGGTAAGGATTAGACGGGGCCAACAGCTCTTTTAAATCCCC